GTCCCACCGCCACACCTGCCTTTGGGCCTCGGCCCGCCCCCTCCCTGAATCGTGTTGGCTGCCCCGGGCTGTGGCCTGTGCACACAGCAGCTGGCATGGCACGCCCTCCAGCCTCAGCGGGCTCCTCCTCAGGACGCCTGTAGGCCAGGCTTCCCAGGAAGAGGCCAGCCGGGACCAGCCCAGCCCCAGCAGAGCGAGTTCAGGCCCGAGACCAGGGCAGGAGAAGAGGCCGCCCTCGAGCGTCCTGCTGTCAGCCCGTCTGTCCAGCACAGGGAGGCAGGCAGGAGCGAGGGCCCGAGTGGCCGGCCAGGCCGGGCAGCAGCCCGAGGACAGGCGAGGGCAGGTGCGGCCGCCACCCTGCCATCTAATCACTTATACATATTCATTTTAGGATAGAAAGAGTGGTAGAGCAGAGCCCGACCCTAAAAAGAAAGCCACTTTTAGGGCTATCACCTCCACCCTGGCCTCCAGCTTCAAGAGACGTAGGTCCTCCAAAGACACGGTAAGGGGGCGAGCACGCCAGTCCACGTCTCCACACGCCTCCTGCCCGCCCTCCGTGTCTGTCTCCCTCCCCCCGCCCCGCCCTGCTGGGCCCGCACCCCCGGCCGGCCGCGGGGCGTCCTCTCAGACTCAGGCACCTGACCTCGCGGTCCTCGGCTCCCCGTGTGTCTCGCCTTAGCCCCTGCCCCATGCCATATCTCACACGCCATCTTGAAGCCGTGTCGTGTCGTGGGTCAGTCAGTCAGCTGCCCGCCCAGGCTCCTCGCCCACAGGGAGGCCACACCACCTGTCCCTGTCACGTCCCTGTTTCTCTCGCCTCTCCCAGAGGGGCCGCCGCCTGCTCCCCCACACGACGTCCCTGGAGGGGTGGCTGCGGCGTCCCCTCCCGTCCGTCTGTCCGGCCACCGGCCCGCCCCCCCAGACACCTGTCTCACCTGTCTCACCAGAGCCATGCGTGTTGCATCCTCCATGTGGTCTCTGTGTGGGCCGGGGGCTGGGGGGCCGGGCCTGGGTCCATCTGGGTGGACGGCTGGGGCCTGGAGTTGGAACTGGTCCTGGCCAGTCGGGGATGGGTGGGGCCAGAGGGGTAGCCCCCACCTGGGCCAGGCAAGCCCCCACAGCAGGCATGACAGCAGCCCCAGCGTCTGAGGGGCTGGGGCAGCCCCACAAGCCCAGGGGGACCCGAAGGCCCTTGGATGGACAGGCTCAGGGAGGGAAGGCCTCTGGGGAGGACACGAGCTTTAGGACCTGAGCCCCAAACACTCCTTCAGGCCAGTCAGAGCCCACTTCCTGCCACATACCCGGCCAGGCAGCAGGGCGGGCCAGGCACCCTGAGAGCTGGCACAGACCTCGGCCCTGCATCCAGGGCCTGCAGCCTCCAGTGCACAGGAGTCCCCAGCTGGAGGGCAGTGTCGCCTGAGGGCCCCCCCCATGCATAAGAGAGGCTTCCTCCAGGGCAGTGACCTGGTCCAGATGAGGCCAGCGGGGTGCCCCGGAGAGACCCACAGTCAGCCTCCCAGGGGGCAGGGCTTAGCTCCAGGAGGGTGGGTGGTCAGTGAGGGCCCGCTAGGTTGGAGGCAGCTGTAGGTTCGGGACAGATGGAAGCGCAGTCCGAGGGCGGCCCAGGCCAGAGAGGGTCAGAGCCCAGGCTGTGGGATGGCTGGGGCCCACCGGGGGGCAGGAGACAGGGACGGAAGTAAAGCACAGGCCCCCAGGACTGGGGATGGCGCTGGCTGGGAAGAGGATGGGCTCCCTGCAGACAGGAAAAGCAGACATTTTGAGCAGGCTGCCAAAGGTGGAAAAGCACAGAACTTGAGCAGGTGACAGGTCACTTCAGAGGGCACTGAGTCTGGGCTCTGCCTGAGCTGGTCCCCATCCAGCTTGGAGACCTGGTGGAGCCCTCCCTGGGATTCGTTCCCTGCAGAATTCTCACCAGAGCTTCCCTGGGTACAGGGACTGTCTTCTGGGGCCAGTCCTGGCGCCACGTGGCATCTGAGGCTGGCCCCGCTCTGTAGGGCGGACCTGCGGGGGGGGGTCGGTCTGGCTGCTGAGAGCCTCTGCCCCTGTCCTGTGGCCAGTCTGGGCCAGGGCAGCGCTGGGCGCTCAGGGCCGGGGTCCCTGGCGGCAGAGGGGCCGGCGGGTATTGATTGTTGGTTCTTATTTATAGAGCACCGGGGGTGGACGCGGCGCTTTGCAAAACCAAAAAGACACAGTGCTGCCCCGACGCGCTGTTGAGAGGGAGGAGGGCCAGCTGCAGCTGTGTTCCCGACATAGGGAGAGCTGAGACGCCCCTCCCCCGCAGACAGACAGACAGACGGACGGGACAGCGGCCAGGCCCAGCAGAGCCCCGGAGCACCACGGGGTCGGGGGAGGAGCGCCCCCAG